CTGGTTTTTTTTTTTTCTCTTATACATCTGTCATTTTTGATATTTTATAAGATTTAATGAAAAGCTTTTGAGCTGTGTTTTGTCATTCAGCGAATGTTAGCAGAAGGAAACAAATAGATGTCAAAATTAACAGCAAATTTTTTTTTTTTTTGAAAATTTGAACATAATTTTTTACAGATATTAAACAACCACAAATGAAAAAAAAAAAACATAGAGTATAGATTTAAAAATAATAAAATTTGAGCAAAAAACTTTAGAGATAAGCTCAAAATTGATGTGACACAGTTACTTAGTTAGTTAGTTAGTTAGTTAGTCAGTTAGATAGTTGATCGGTTAGGTAAATAGATAGATAGATAGATAGATAGATAGAATAGTCGTTTAGCTAACTGATTAGTCAGTTAGTTAGTCAGTTAGATAGTTAGTTGGTTAGGTAGATAGATAGATAGATAGATAGAATAGTCGTTTTAGCTAACTGATTAGTCAGTTAGTTAGTCAGTTAGCTGTACGTCCTCGCAAAGAAAACTTTTGAACTTTTAACCAGTTGAACGCATATTGAAATTGAAAAGCAAACCAAAACAAAAAAAAAAATTCAGAAGATGATTGAGAACAAAAAAAGAAATCTATCAATTAATTTTTTTTTGTAATACCTTTTGAAGCCTCTTTTTTTTACGTTTTTAAGTTAATTTTTATCTTCAAAAGTTTCTTTTTTTTATTTTTTTTTGTCCAGTAAAAAGTTGTTGATACGATATCGCTGTTTTTGGATAGACGAAATTGCAAAAACAAAAAGAGAAAAAAAAAACCATTATATATTATTTTTTAAACTTAAAATCAGAATAAAAAATTGTAGAAAAAAAAAAGAAAGAAAGGAAGAAATAATTTATGCTTGAAAAAAAAATAGAAAAAAAAAGTGAGAAAGCAAAGCATTCTTAGAAACTTTTTATCTTTTGCGGGGAATCAAAAGAATAGAGGTGGAATAAAAAACAAAACAAAACAAAGCAAAGCAAAGACAAAGACCAACAGATTGGTTTTGAAATCCAAACGATAAGTGTTGTTCAAAAGTCAAACGTCTGAAAAATAGGTTTTTTTTTTTTTTTTCAACATTTTTGACAACAATCAAACATTTGTACTTTTTTTTTTTTTTACAAAGAACATTTATGATTTTCAACTTTTCTTTCTCTTCTCATTTTTTTTTTTTTACCTCATCAATTTTTTAGCAATATGCTTTTTTTTTTTTTTGTAAATTATTTAATCGTTGGAAGCAGAAGTAACACTTTCTTTCTTCAGTTTTTGACTTGGTATTTAACTGTGAAAAAAAATAAAGAGTGTTTGCATAAACAACAAATAGTTTATTTGTAACAGAAGTTTTAGAAATTGTAAAAAAAAACAGAAAAGAACGACGAAACATCAATAAAAAAAAAAACGTAGAAAAAGTAACGAGGAAAAAAAAACAAAAGGAAAAAGTGATTTATACATAAATACCACTTTTTAAAACTGCATTTAATGGCATTGAAACTAAGCTTTAACCTAAGTTTATTCAGTTGATAAAAATACTGCTTCCTCTTTTTTTTTTTTGTTCCTTTTTTCTGTTCCCCCCC